CTCCAAGCCGCCACTGCTAGTCTGCCGGCGACCATGGCTTTTGTGCTTTCCCTTGTTGAGCGTTCCCCAGAGACCACCTCCATAACTTCGTTCAGAAAATCGTTTGGCAGATTTTGAATGCAGATTTGAAATCAGCATCAAAAAATACGCCTAGCAGTATAGGCCCCATTTCAAATGGCCACTTCGACTCGGGATCCTTCCCTTGTTAGTTTTAGGACCGCTCAGGTACAGGCTCACTGCGTATCTCATTCACAGTTTGTGGCTTTCCTCGAGGCTTGCTGTCTCAAACTAAGGAAGGCCGTCGTTGAACCGGGAACTGCCGTAGGTGCCATTGCGGCAACTAGCATAGGTCAGCTGAACCATGACAACTACATCGATTACCTCAGTCCCAAAAACCATTTCTTTCTTTCAGGTGAACCTTCCACGCAGATGACCTTGAAGACATTCCATTTTGCTGGTGTTGCCTCTATGAATATCACGCAGGGAGTGCCGCGTATCAAGGAAATAATTAACGCCGTCAAAGCTGTAAATCATCAGAAAGTGAAGTTACAATGTTCGATACTGGTGAAGGGGTTTGTTAAAGGTCTCAACTCCGATCATCACTGCGAAGTTGATGAATAGTCAAGACGAGAAGCTGGCACGACAGGTCAAGGCACGTATTGACATTACGACGTTAGGTTGGTTTCTAATGCGACGAAAATTCAGTAATGTTGTTAGAGCCTATATCTTTCAGGTGAAATCTGTGATTATATCGAAGAAGTCAACTTGCCTGACAACACGTTTCTCCTGTTGAAATTGAGTTCGAGACGTATCCGGATTCTTCACTTAGAAGTATACTATCGTATCACGAAATGAGCTTTTCGTTCATCGTGATTCCAAACTGACTAACATTTTTGAGGTCACAATGACAAGTATCGTGCAGAGCATACTTTCCACAAAGAGTTTCGTGTCATTCAAACTGGCTCAAGTAAGCTGTCTTTGTAGATAGAACTTTTCGCATAAACAAGCTTCTCTCTGTTCAGATTACTATTGTGGGAAAGTCAATGATGGTTATTCGACCACCAGCTGATTCGAAGTTTTCAAGGGCAATTACTATTCAAATAATGAAGCAAGCTCTTCAGAAGGTCATAGTGAAAGGTGCAATGTTTTGATCAGTTGCCTTTCGCTTCAGTTTTTTTATTTTACAGTTTCGATGTCTTGAAGGATTCCTCAAGAAGTTAACGCATTTTTTTCCTGAGGATTGGTTTTGTCATAGCTATGGATGTGTGTATATATCGGTAACTTCAGGTTTGCCAAGTGTGAGTCGCTGCGTGATTCATGCTGATGAGAAGCGCGGTGATGAGTACAGTATCATCGTGGAGGGTGGCGACTTCCGTGGTGTGCTTTCCGAACCAGGAATCGATGGTCGATTCACGAACTTTAATAATGCCTTGGTCGTTGCTGAAGTGAGTATCGACGTTTCCGAGGGCATGCTTTGCCTTTTGTACCCTTTAATATCTTTTTTTCACGTAGAGCCATTTGGGGGGAGGGGGGGAGTCCGTTCTACAACTAGGTCACCCCGCCCACTTCGCGTGTTGTGCAGCACAATGCGATCTCTAGCTTATAACAGTACCCCGTATTGTCAATTTTTTAAGCTTACTGAACTCTTCTCTTATGTCCCACTGACAACTGCGACTAGTAGTGGAAAGTGGCGCTACCACACACGCGCGTGTTCGAATCCCGGATCGACATCCGCTCAGGCCAGCCAAGCTTTCCATCCCAATGGCTTCGCTTAACTGGTACCAGAATCGTCTGGGATGATAAAAGCAGTATTCAGTCCGACGTTGTAGCATACTATGCTCCACGCGTTCGCTTGATGAGAACCTTTTAATGAAGGAGATGACGAAATGCGCTGCAGCTTTTTTTCAGGTGCTTGGAATTGAGGCAGCGCGAACGTGCATTATCAGTGAAATCATTGGAACTATGGAGGCCCATGGTATTGGGCTTGACAGACGGCACGTAATGTTGCTAGCTGATGTCATGACATACCGGTGCTTCCTTTTCAAATCAGTCACCTTCATCGTTAGATGAACCGAAGCAAAATGGCAATTTTGTAGTGGGGAGGTACTTGGTATCACAAGGAATGGATTGGTGAAAATGAAAGAGTCAGTTCTACTGCTTGCTTCGTTCGAAAAAACAATGGATCATTTGTTTGAGGCTGCTTTCTTTTCGCAGAAAGATCCTGTAAGTTTATGCCTGACCATTTTTACTACTCCTGACTCACTTGGGATAGTGTTCCAGATACATGGCGTTTCCGAGTGTATTATTCTCGGCATTCCGATTTCGGCAGGAACTGGTATGTTCAAATTGCATCAAAAGCTTTCAGATCCTATTGATTACACTCATGGAGAACCTATTTTCGTAAAACCACAGTTCCATCTAAAAGTGTAAAGGCTTTGTTCGGCTTGCTATCAGTTATATGTATAACATATAATAGTTTCTTTCGCCTTGTTGTTATTTGATTATAAGTTGACGGTTGGTTATCGAAAGAAATGAAACGGGTAATAACTCAGTTTAATTAACTTATTAATGTTAAATAAGGAGATTGCAGCTAATGTTAAATTGCTTACGGTTGCGTTGAGATGGCTAGCGTTTGCTTCCAGAAACCCGTGTTTTTCTGCAGATTTATGCATCTCTTTACACGGCCTCTGCGATACCCCTTGAGTGTGAATTCGACTACGATGTCTAAGTATTGAGAAACACACAGAAACAGTTTTTTTTGTTATATAATGTAACGAATCTCAAGAACACGAATGAAGATTTTAATTCGAACATTAGTCGATCAAATTCACAATTCGACATTCCGAATATTAGTTTTTTGAATATGATGTGCGTGGTGATTCAATGGTTGTGTTAATATGTTTATCATTTTGCGTTCGGTTATGTTATGAATAGGCAACAAGACAAATATGGCAATCACAGAATACTTTAATAGGCGACAAAGTAAAGCAATGTAAAAGTAAGGTTGAAAGGTATTAACTAAACGGGTAAACCGATCGCGTTTATCCATTGGAAGGTACTGCGGCTTGAATTATTTTCCCGCGCGCGCTTATTTGAATGCACTTACCACTGGAGCGCTCTAGCCTTGTTGTGGCCTATAACGTTGCTGATTCTATCACTAGCCCACCCCTTTCACCTGATTATTCCTCTGCTCAGCACCATTCTAATGAATCCAATACAATGTATCTTTCCCCATCCTGCTTTCCCTGCAAATAGACCTGTGGCCACGGTTACTGCAAAGTATTATGCTGCTGGTAAAAAATCGTTGTACAGGTCCTTCTCTTAAGATTTACACTTGTTGCCGTGAGAATGCAGCGTCACGACCTTCGTGTGGTTCCAAAGAGATTGGGTCCTCAATCTTTCGAAACTTTGAATTTCATTGGAATTCTTTCAATAAACTCTTGCACAGACATGCTGTGCTTAAACTTCGTAGTATTTCAATTTATTTCTCCAGGCAAATGCACTCATTGGATTGAAGTTAGTGTTACCCCCTTCATTAACCTTCGTGTGTGTGTATTTAAAAAGATAGCTCAGTCCCACTGGCACGCGGTAAATCTGTTGTCAAAATTTTACTGAGACCATTGGAAAACTATTGTTGATGACTTTTTAGGCTCTTGTTTTCAGGAGGATTACCGTAACAAACCAATGAATTCAAAGCTCGCAAAGCGCAGTTCACTGAAGAAGGTCGATAGTAATAAGTTCTACGCTATCAATTAGTTAGTGTACTGAAAGTGGGGCTGATAAAACCTGTTGAAATCGCAAAGCTGAAATCATTCGCGTGTATAGTCCATCGTTCTGGTTGCTTCACTATGGAACAGAGCTAAGTTATGGATGTAACCAATCACGCCACTAGTCGATGTTAATGGCTATCAATTGTTTAAAATTAGCAAGGCAAAGTTGGTGCCTTTGTGATACAGTTAACGCTTTCCCTGACATTCCAAGCTGTCATTTCAGCCTACTACCCTAAAATTCCATAGATAAGAGCGGGTGAGCCTACCGGTGAAAAGTGAATTGGAAAAAATCGAAATTGAATGCAGTCACCACTCTAACTTGATGGATGGATAAATTAAACTTCGAAGAAGAAGTTAACAAGGAGCTCCGCCCCTCAACTCTAAACCCCGCCCACTTAATAAACAATTCATATAGAAAAACAGCGATCCCTAAAAATCGCTATTTTTTCATATGAATTGTTTATTAAGTGGGCGGGGTTTAGAGTTGAGGGGCGGATCTTCTTGTTAACTTCTTCTTCGAAGTTTAATTTATCCATCCATCAAGTTAGAGTGGTGACTGCATTCAATTTCGATTTTTTCCAATTCATTTTTCACCGGTAGGCTCACCCGCTCTTATCTATGGAATTTTAGGGTAATTGAGCCTAGCTCACCTTGAAAAGGGTCTTCTAATTTTCACCTTTATATTAACGATGGGGATTCCTAAGGATAGGGAGATGGCAGGCAACTCTGCTAACAGTCAAGTTGAAAAACGACGCAAGATAACTACTTTCCGCCTAGGAAGACAGTAAGATACAAGTATTTTGATGTAGAATCATGTAACACTAATTTCAGAAAGATTTGCACGTTTTTATGGTTTGTAAAGAATGGAGTGAAGTCACCTATAGGATTCCACGTTGTGAAGTGTTTATTGACAACTTTGTCTCCCTCTTAAAACCACACCAGGGTCATGACGCTATATGCTCACGACAACAGGTGTAAAACTCAAGAGGTGGACGCACACAAGAATTCGCTTACCTACAGCAGCATCTTTTGCAGAGCTACATATATGCTAAATAAAGTAGCAGGAAGTAGGCAGTAAGCAGCAAAACTAGAATATGGTACCAAATTCACTATAGTAGTGTGAACAGAAGAATAAGTGGTGAGTTTAGTTAGGCGAAGAGCGGAGGAAGTCCAGCAGTCACAACGTGCATGCCCCTGCGACAATGGAGCGCCCTTGGTTGCATTCAAATTAGCGCGCGCGGGGAAATAATTCAAGCCGCAGAACCTTCCAATGAATAAACACGATCCGGGTAAACCAACGTCTTGCCCTGGAAGTCGTTTGCGGTAGACTGGGACCACGCTTTTTGGTGGTCCCGCCCGCTTGACTCTCTTATCGTAATTGGCGTCCCAACGCACTGACACGCCTTAGCATCGGCGGTGCTATCACACGAACTTCTTGTTCTACGAACTTTCAAGTCCTGTAACGTTGCTGGACGAGTCCCAAAAAACTTCCTCTTGCAATATCCTCGTAGAAAGTAATCGCAAGAGTACAGATCGGGCGATCATTTGGGCCATTGAATATCTCCGTTCCTACTAATCAAGCGGTCCGGAGAATTGTTTCTTAAAAGGTCCAGTGACGCTTTGGCCGTGTGACTGGTTGCTCCATTCTGTTAGAAATAAGTGTTTTCATTTACATGAAATCGACGAATATACCTCCACCTCTACCACCTTTGTTAATTGTGCGCTTTGACTGCTCACTTTTTTTTGCTCCATTTGGAATTTCCATTTATGTTCTTAAGATTTGTTGCAATCTATGACTGAGAAACGGTTTCTGTGTGTGTGTTTTTAAAACTTAGAATCATGCCGTTTGACTGCCCACCTTGCGTTGACTACTGCACCGCTCAAATTCTGCGCTATCATAGCTTTATTGATAGGAAGCATTGAACTCTATTGATCAGTGAGTCAAAGGTCTTCTCAAGTGAGATTACCAGCCATAAAACTATTCATCAAGTGAATTGGATCATTATTTCGTTTTATCTTATAGTTGTATCTTATAGTAGTTGTTCTGCAGTTAAAACTGAATTTCGAAAGACGTTAACTTCGCACGATCTGTTTCTGTTGTTGGTTCTGGTTTATGTTAAAATTCGAAGCAGTTCCGTTCACCTTCGAAACCTCTCTCATCTTCCATAGCTGAATGATTTGTTTGTTGAGTGTTATTGTCAGGTTTACATGAACCTTTGAGCCATCCTGTTTTTGTCATTGTTTAAGCACACGTTATGCTCGGCAATTATATTTTGTAGTAGCATGTGAAAACTAGAATGCTTATTCGACCCTTTGTGAAACAGTTCAGGTGTGTTTCCTAAGTACGCTTCTGTGCAGGGCTTATCAGGCACAATTCTGATCGTTGTGCAGCAGTTCGTTATCTTATACATTTTCTGTGTCTTTTTTGGCGCTCCCGTGCTCAGTGAATTGTGCTCGACCACCGCGCTTTCTGTTTGGCTAGCACTGCTCACTGGGCTACCACTTTCGCAAGGAGGAAGGTTGGTCCTATGCTTATTTCTTCAAGTTGTTCATTTTTTACTTCTTGAAGTTTCAGTAGCTGTGAGTATGGGTGGATTAGTCGGTGAACTTGTCACTCTTTCTGCACCTTTCTCCTTCGAATTTCTTTGATTAAATGTTGAAGTAATCTTCTTCGATTTCGATAAGGCCTTTTATAAGTGGTCGCACAGGGTTCCAATAAACAAATTGAATCCCTTAGTTTTTCGAAAATTACTTTTGAACTGGATTCGCAACAACACGAGTCTTGCTGTATCTCTTCCCAATTCTCGTGTTGTGTCCAGTGGTGCTCTACGAAGAGGGGTGCTATCCAGTTTTGTTATACTATTTAATATTTATACCAGGCGGCTACGCACGCTATTGCGCGCGCTAGGGGCTCTAGTCATGAGGGACGGAGCCACATGAGCTTCTGATTTTCAATATAAACCTTTATCATCCGAGCCTTTCCCTTGACCCTTCTCTAGCGGATATCATTTTTTTGGATTTGAAATGGGGCTGTGTGTGGCCATGGAGAGTCCTCCGATGTATACAAATTAAATACCTCTGCAGTCCATGTAGTCGAAGAAACCCTGTGCAGTTTGGGCTGTGTGGGGCCATAAATACTAACTTTGAGAGAACAGTACCCTTGAGTGTTTGTAGGGATCTACATATCTCTACAGGGTACCCACCTGTGAGGCCGCGGTTATGGCAGAATTTATTTTATGAGGTCTAAAGTTATTGTAGCGCATTTGCTCTTGTGTAGAAGGGACTACCGTGTGTGGAACCATGGACAGCAACTTTCAGAGAATTTTTAGTCTAATTTTGAAAGAGTTCAGTGGTATCACCTAGTTGTACACCTATGTGTACACCTACGTCTTACCACTTTCTTCCCGCAACCCAAAACGTTTCTGAACAGAGTTATGAATTTTTGACCTAGGCTCCGCCCACTATAATTCCAACCCCGCCCACTTCTGGGATTTTACCACATTTGTTCTT